CATAAAATGACTCTCCTCCTTTTTTTTCTGCTTGCGTTTTAATGGTGGATTCTTTGTGGTTAAGGTTTCCAGGCAAAGCCAGGCGCAGGACTCCTACCATGATAAAGGCAGAGAGCATCCCGAGGAAGGTGAGAGCCGCGGGCGCGTGCCTGCCGGGCGGTGTGGTCCCTGGCAGTGCCCTCGGACGCCTCCGCACGCTGTTTGAGCTGAGATTCGGTTGCTCTCGGAAAACGTGAATTAAGTCCCTTTTTCGAAGGGGGGAGGAGGGATGCAGTGCTTTCGGGTCTCACTTGAAAAGGAGAGGAACGTGCAGCCCCGTTTATCTTGAGTCACCAAATGGCGTTTCAGTTGTTTAGAAACTGATAAGTAGGCCAAATGGGTCTTTTGCTGAAGAAATAACTATTTTTAGGAGATCAACTTAAGCACATCTCTCTCTTTGCTCGTACAGTGCAGCTGAGCTGTGCGCGTTCAGAAACTGTGTGCTTTTTTTTTCCCCCCGCAACCAAAGTTATGATTTTTAATTACATAATCTCATAATTTGCGTATAAAGACAGACCCTTGCAATTCACTCCTGGCGCTCGCCAGGGCTCCCCGGTGGTCTTTCACAAAATTGGCCATTAAGCAACCTAAAAGCAGTAACGTCCATGCCTTTTGGCAGGTAAGGGGGGGAGCGGATGAGCTCTGTGCAGGTGGATTTTCATCCTTGCATCTTCTTAGAGGCTTGCCTTGGGGAGCTGCATCCCTGTAAGTGCCTGGGAGCTCACAGAGGTGGGGGACATGTGGTATTCTCCCTTTCCGAACAACGATGTCGAAAATCTGTACTGGCAGTACTTCTGAATCTGCAAATCCTGGAGGAATGTGTAAGATGGGGGAAAGCTGCTACCTGAGAAACGTGGTGCCGCTTGCTGAGGCTGCTGCCTGTTTGAACAGAGGCTAGCAGAGCGAGTGGGTTACCCTGAGGTTTTTCTCCATCTTAAGTGTAAACTCCTCGCTAAGCATGCTTACTGCTTTAAGAATTAACTCCTGATTTTAAAAAAAGGAGAAAAAAAAAAGTTTTGTTTGTTTTTTTTTTTAATATATTGTGTAAGCGCTCTGGCTTACAAGAAGTGCGTGTGTGGGGAATAACGCGATCGTTGTTTCCTCTCCCGTAGGAAAACATCCCGACGGTGGCTTGTACAGCAAGGGACCATCGTACTCTGGTTATTCTGGGTATATCATGATGCCAAACATGAACACCGACCCCTACATGCCGAACGGATCCCTGTCGCCGCCCATCCCCAGAACCGTGAGTGATCCGTCGCCAAGCCCCGTCCCGGCGAGCCGCCGCTGCCTCCTCTTCCTTCGGCCGTGCGCGCCCGCCCTGGCT